CCGTCGCTAAGTTTCAGTGTGCTTTTTTTTTTTTGTTGCTAAACAAGTTTCGGTGTGTCACATAATATCAAGGTACGAGCAAAGAAATACCATTTGATAACACTTTTTTTTTTCTTTCTTTTGAACATTTCCAAATGATTCGGTTTGTCGTTTTAAGTTAAATATTTTTCTAATAGAGCGAGTATAATGAAATCAAAATAAAAGTCATGTAACTTTGTTTTTTTTTATCAAAAATGTGGTGGCACAATGTTAACGTAAAAAAGTTTGTTTTCTGACTGTCTTTTGATATCCTGAACCAAAAGTTTAGAATTTTGACGGTTTATCACAAAAACAAAACTTTGTTTTTATATGAATTTTTTTTTATATATATAAAAATTAGAAAAACATGATGCATGCAATTTCAAATTAAAGACGCACGTAATCGTTTTCTTTTTTAATACGATTAATTAAATTAAGAAAAAAGAAAAAGAAATTGCACCTACGTATCAAGAGCTATCATATAATTGTATCAGATCAGAATCACTACGATGATAATATTTTTGGGTTCTGCTGATTAAAAAATCAAATAAAAAGTACTGAATTGTTATTTAATTAATCCAGTCTCAGTCTATGAATCTGAGAATTGTGTGATCCTGCAAATCTGAGAGAGAAAATGGCTGGGAAATTGGAGTCGTTCGAGGATCAAACGAGAGAAGGGCTTCTCTCTCGAAAAGCTTGCTCAGATTTCGGCTTCAATGACTCAAGCATCATCGTCGATGATCGTCGATCCAAGTTCCGATGTTTCCGTTTTTGCTCCGACGGGATCATCGCCACCTGGAGAGCTCTCTACGACATCGCCGCTAAATTGTACGAGATGGGGCGTTCCGATCGCCGGAAAGTCTACTTCTCCGTCAAGATGGGAATGGCTCTCGCACTCTGCTCCTTCGTTATCTACCTCAAAGAGCCACTCCGTGATGCTAGCAAATACGCCGTCTGGGCCATCCTTACCGTCGTCGTCGTCTTCGAGTATAGCATAGGTACTCACGAATCTTTTCTAGATTCGGATCGAATCGAATCGATTCAGGGGTTATTTGTTGTTCCATTGAATCTTCTGGATTTTTTTTGTTTGTTCTCAACAAATCCGCACCTGAATCTTCTCGATTCAAAATCCAATCTGAAATTTGTTGTTTGATTCACATCAAATCTGTTGCTTGTTTGATCACTCAGACTTATTTTTTGCAGGAGCAACATTGGTGAAAGGATTCAATAGAGCCATAGGCACACTCTCTGCTGGAGGACTTGCTCTTGGTATAGCTAGACTCTCTGTCTCAGCTGGAGATTTCGAGGAAGAAATTATTATTGTCAGTATTTTCATTGCAGGTTGGTTGCACCATTTACCAAATTCTCTCAATCCATGCTATAAATTTAATCTTTACTTTTCATTATTACTAACGTTTTTCTCTTAATCCTTGTGAATCCATATCAGGATTTTCTGCAAGTTATTTGAAACTCTACCCGGCGATGAAGTCGTATGAGTATGCATTCAGGGTGTTTTTGTTGACATACTGCATCGTTCTTGTGTCGGGAAACAACACCAGAGAATTTTTCAGCACTGCTTACTACAGGTTTTTGCTAATCCTGGTTGGTGCAAGTATCTGTTTGGGTGTCAACATATTTATACTTCCCATTTGGGCTGGAGAAGACCTCCATAAACTAGTGGTTAAGAATTTCAAGAGTGTGGCCATTTCCCTCGAAGGTAGAGAGATAAATAACATGGGATGTGTCTC